AGGCCGAAGATAGACTTGTATTATTATAAAATACAGTTAAAAGATTAGTAATGAGGCAGCTTTCCTTTTCTTACTAAAGAACCTTTGTCACCCAGAGGCGAGAGTTGTCACAATGCAGCTTTTGAACTAAGAAGCACACTTAAGCTCAAATGATGACAAATCTTATTCAAGTTGTCAGCGCACTATGTCCACAGACTTGAACAATATTTAGAGTCAACATGCAATGAAAATCAATTGGGATTAAGCAGCTTAATCCCAAAGGTAACATATCAATTCGCCTTTTTTGTGTTTTGAGAAGAAAGGAATGGACATATAAAAAAAATGGAAAAGTAAATAGCAGAACTTTCTTGATCGCCATCCTCCTCAAGGGAGAGTTGAGTAGATGACTTTCTGCAAAAAATAATCGTCCTTGAACTGACCTCAACCTCCTGGTTATGGATGTCCATTGGGGAAAACAATAAATGAAAATCCACGTATATACCTCAGACAGTGGGACACCAGGACACAAGTATTGTAGGTAAGGGTGGGGTTAGTATCATGACATCACTATGCATATAAGATCATCTTGACATCACTGGATGTTTGCTGGAGATGCCTATCTTCCTGGTGAAGATATCTATTTATGCAGTTTTCTTGGTTACGTTAGGAAATGATTTACCACTCCCTTAGTCCAGGGTGACTTGAAACCAGAGATAGACAACTTTTAAAGCATTGTCATTATCATCCTTAGGAGTCTATTTGGAATTTTCAGAGCATGTGATGGACTATCAAGAGCCACAGAAATGACTTTGGAGAAACCTAAAGGTGCTTTTTCAAACTGCAGCTGGACTTTCTTATTTTTCCTTGAAGATGTTTCACTTCTCATCAAGAAGCTTCTTTAGTTCTGACTGAATGGTGGAGAATGGAAGGATTTATAATAATAATAATAATAATAGTAGTAGTAGTAGTAGTAGTAGTAGTAGTAGTAGTAGTAGTAGTAGTAATAATCATAATAATAATAATAAAGTTGGAAGGGACCTTGGAGGTCATCAAGTCCAACCCCCTGCTCAGGCAGGTAACCCTATACCATTTCGGACAAATGGCTGTCCAGTTTCTTCTTAAAAACTTCCAGTGTTGGAGCATTCACCGCTTCTTTATATTCTTTGCAGTCATCTGGTCATTAGCACTCTCTCTGAGAGTCATTGAGGCCACTTGGAGGTTTATCTGTGCCCTTCAAATCCTTCAATTCTCCACTATTCAGTCAGAACTGAAGAAGCTTTTGGATGAGAAGCATAACATCTTCGAAGAAAAAACAAGAAAAAGCACCTTTGGGACAACCATGACCTGGATGACTGAGAATCTCCATAGACTTTGGAGAAAATATGTAGAAATAGCTGCAGAAACAAAAGCATGAGTTAAGTCTTGGAAACAAACAAAGCATGAGAGGGAGACTCATAGTGGTTACATCCTAATTCACTGGGTATGAGAAGGAAGGATGGGAAACATAGGCTGTCAAGATTGATGTCAACTCTTCAAGATAGACCAGGTCAGAAAACAGACTCCACCAGTTTGAGTGGAACTCTACTTAATTGATGTAGTAACAGAATCATGAATCCCTCGCCTCCCTTTTCTTTCCCAATGAATTAGCATGGATTCAGCTTGAGCTCAAAACATTTTCTCTGTTTCCCGAACTTAACACAGGCTTTGGTCCTGTGTTAAGTTCGGGAAACTTATTTTCTCCAAGGTCATTTCTATGACTCTCTGCCCGGGCACATTTACAAAATGGTGATAAAAGGAGACTTGCCTAATAAAAAAACTATATCAGTGTCTATATCAGTGGTTCTCAACCTTTTTAATGCCGTGACCCCAACCGGTCATACGTTGAGGACTAAACCGGTCGTAAGTCGAGGACTAAACTGGTCGTAAGTCGAGGACTACCCAACCGGTCGTAAGTTGAGGACTTTCCCTGCCCGGGAGCGCCACGCATGCGTGGTTCCGCCCCCTGCGCCGGCCGAGGCGTAGCTGGCAAGCAGCAGAGACGGAGCAGGCCGACCACCAGCTGGCCCAGCCCAAGGAAGGTAAAGCACCCGCTGGAAAAGGGGGAAAAAATGGCGGACAAAAAAAAGGCAGACAAAAAAAATGGCGGACAGCCTTGCTTGGCGACCCCCATGAAATGGTCGATCGACCCCAAATGGGGTCCTGACCCACAGGTTGAGAACCACTGGTCTATATCATGCTTGGCCAGCCACAAAATACCATTTACCAGATGGCAGACTTATCCTCCAGGAGATTCCTTTCCATCATAGGGAGAAGTTTGAGGGTCCAAGACTTTCTTGACCAGTGTTTGTCAAACTTGGCAACTTTAAACTATGTGGGTCTCAACTTCTAGAAATTCCAGAAACTTTTCTTTAACTCTTTAAATAAGTTAAAGTTGCCAAGTTTGAGAAACACTGTGCTAGACACCGGTGCTATGGTAGCTTAAGAAAAAGATCAGGTACACAGGGAGCCAAGTGGGTCTCAAGAGAGTGGCCCAGTAGACATCAGTGACTGCATATCATGCTATGTTACTCTGGGGCTCCTTGCAGCTGACGCCTTGAAAAGATTTTTTTATTTCAGAACATGAGTTTGGTGAACTGAGTGTTTCTCAGAATTTGAGAAACACTTCCTCGTTCCTGTTCTCAGACAAAAATCAATTCCCAATCTGAGTTCAAGTTCAAATTAAGGCTACCTAAATTTATACTACCCAAAAAAAGTGAGTTCACTGACAGTAAGGTCTCCAAGGTTGTGAAAAACATATTTACAGCTCTGGCCCACAGCTGTTCTCTATCTTTAAATAAATGAACAAATAAAAAATAATAATATTTATGGAGCCAGTATATGATTTGAGGTGTCTCTGGTAATTAAGATGCTTTGGGAAATTAGTGTTTTGCTTATAACTTCCTTTTTTGTTTTGTTTAAAATTAAGCCAATTTTTAAAAACAAAATAATAATCAAAAGTTGAGAGAGGAGAAGCATTTCATAAGTGCCTTGATCTCTATAAAAGTCAAGTTGGAGATCCCAGCATTAAATCTATAGTTGAGTGCCAGCAGTGAAGCAATTTTAGGCCAACTATCAACTGGAGGCATTTTTTGTACTTCTGGATTGTCCTCTAGTTTCAGTTCAATCCTTAAGACTCCCTCATCAACGCCCCCTCTCTTTTTGTTATTTTATTCTAAAATAATAAATGAAATAATAAAATAAAATAAAATAAAAATGATAATAAAATAAAAACAAACAAAATAAATTAATAAAATAAATACAATTAAAAATTAAATTTAAATTAAAAATCTGATAATAAAGTAAAAATGATAATAAAAACAAAACAAAATAATAAGATAAAATAAAATAAGATAAAATAAAATAAAATACAAAATAACATGGAAAACCAGCTGGGCAACATTGGGCCAGTTCCTCTCCTTCAGTCCAATCCACCTCACAGGGTTGTTGTTGTGGGGAAAATAGGAAGAGGAAGGATTAGTAGGTATGTTTGCTGCCTTGACTTGTATATGAAAAATAAAAAGGAGGAATAAAAATACACTATGTAAACTAGACAGCTGCAAGGTGGTCGGCAAAACCTAGAGCAGTGGTTCTCAACCTTTTTAATGCTGCGACCCCAACCGGTCGTAAGTCGAGGACTAAACCGGTCGTAAGTTGAGGACTAAACCGGTCGTAAGTCGAGGACTACCCAACCGGTCGTAAGTTGAGGACTTTCCCTGCCCGGGAGCGCCGTGCATGCGTGGTTCCGCTCCCTGTGCCGGCCGAGACGTAGCTGGCAAGCGGCAGAGACGGAGCAGGCCGACCACCAGCTGGCTCAGCCCAAGGGAGGTAAGGCACCCGCCGGAAAAGGGGAAAAAAATGGCGGACAAAAAAAATGGCGGACAAAAAAATGGCGGACAGCCTTGCTTGGCGACCCCCGTGAAATGGTCGATCGACCCCAAATGGGGTCCCGACCCACAGGTTGAGAACCACTGATCTAGAGCAATATGAATTAAAAATAGGATTAAAATGAGAAAATAGAAAGATCTTCGACCTACCATTGAAATAATGCTAATGCAGGCTCCACTGGAACCTTTTGGGGAGGGAATTCCATAAGTGAGGGGGCCAACAAGGAAAGGGCTCCCCTTCTCTCTTATAATCATTTCTCTAAAAGACCTCTTGAGGAAGCAGAAGAAGAAAATGAGGATTCAGGAGAAGGCCCACTTAAATTTAAAAAGTACGTGATGATATAAGGGTAGGCTTTGCTGCATTCAGTGCCCCACCGAGTTGCAAGTTCTAGGCTGAATTTGGTGGGTCCTTCACAGCTTGGCACCATCAGGCAACGGACGGGAGGCAGTTCGTTGGGGTGGGCAGCAGAGCTTGAGAACTGAAAAGTCCAGTTGCCTCCTCACCCTCCCTGCATGCCACTTGAGCTCCTCAACTAGCTTGCCGTTTGGCCCCCTAGGCTAACCTACCATACTGCCCTCCAACACTGTGAGAAACCGGACTGTCTTGATTTGAAAGCTGAAGTCCACCCAACTTAAAAGTTGCCAAGTGTGAAAAACACTGCTTTAGAGGCACGGCAGTTTTGTTAGAAGGAAACTGTCCATTTTAGAGACAGCCTCGATGACACAATTGCTAATGTCCCTTGATCTGGGGCCCCGTGTCGTGTGACGAAGGGCTGGTGAATTTCTTTTCCTGGATTCTTTAGTTACCTGAAGGAGGAAGCAGGCTGAAGAGGTGGGGGATTTCCCCAGTGCCACTCAAGCTATTTAACCAGCAGAGTGAAGGGCACGTTCCGGAGCAAAGGAAGCTGAGAGGGAAGGCAACACTCCTTTCCTCTTCGACCATCTGGCCGCTCTGTTGCCAAGCATGCTGCTCTCCTTGCTTCTCTGCGCAGGGATTGTGAGCGGATTCCGCCCTAACCATGAATCGGGAGACATCTCTTCAAATGACTTCACAGATACTGACATCACGGAATTGGGGGCACTGCGGGCTGTAGCCTGGTACATGGAGAAGAACCCTCTGCCTGGAAGACCTGCCATGGCGCCCGGGGAGCTAACAAACATGGTCCCATTGAATGCAACCGGGCTCTTCAAGGCCTATTACCAAGGTGAGCTGGCTCTGGGGTCCAAAACAAGAGGATTCGTCTTGGTCCAAAGCTCAGTGTCCTAACCCTCGGTTCTAAGACACTGGATCCCCTTGTCATACATACAACTACATTGCATTGTTCTTCCCAAACCTGAACTACTTCTCCAACACAACTCCTTCCAGAAAGCTAATTGTGATTACTGTATCTAATGCTTCATCTCACCTCCAGATCATGAAAAAGTCATCATCTGAGGGAACATTGGGGTATATTGATCAATCTGTACAGATTCTAGATAGTTCTTCTAGACTCTTTCTAGGCTTTTCTTCCATATTATCATAAATTGTCCTTGTTGAGTTGAGTTGAATTGGATGAGTTGGGCTCCAGTTCTGATATTTCCTAGACTTCTGGAGAAGAAATGGAATTTCAGGAGATATCTTTTAATGTCATCTCCTTGAGCCTTAGACCTTTCTAGATCTAGAATGAGGGTAGCCCTTTCAAAACTATGCCCAGCTAGGTTTTAGTTGTGGCATCAGCCGAGATCCTGGGGCAGGAGTGGAGGTGTGATGAATGTCATCAGGGAATCTCTTATGGCACTAGTTCTCAACCTTTTCTTTAACACCGACCCCTTTTAAATACAGTTTGTGGCTATAGACCACCGAGACTTAACTCAAGATTTATTATTAATAATAATAATAATGATAACGATAAAGTTTGAAGGGACCTTGGAGGTCATCTAGTCCAACCTCCTGCTCAGGCAGGAAACCCTATACCATTTCGGACAAATGGCTGTCCAGTTTCTTCTTAAAAACTTCCAGTGTTGCAGCCTTCACCGCTTCTGGAGGCTTTCATGGATCCCTGTGATGGCATCACGGCCCCTCAGGGATGAGATGGCTTGGGAGTTCATAACCACCATGACAGCCATGGGCCTCTCTCATGGGCCGACATGGAACAGTGGCCAAACACTGGATCTGATGTTCCTGTCAGAGCAGAGGCCCTGAGATCTAATATTGGGAGAGCTTTCGATATCCCTCTTGTCCTGGTTACCTCACACCCTGATTATCAAGAAATTCTCTAGCACCACCATCCATTAGATTGGTCTGCCCTCCACCCACTCACCCTCACTAATACTAATACTAATACTAATACTAATACTAATACTAATACTAATACTAATACTAATACTAATACTAATAATAATAATAATAATAATAATAATAATAAAGTTGGAAGGGACCTTGGAGGTCATCTAGTCCAATCCCCTGCTCAGGCAAGAAACCCTATACCATTTCAGACAAATGGTTGTCTCAATCTCTTCTTAAAAACCTCCAGTGTTGGACCATTCACAACTTCTGGAGGCAGGTTGTTCCACTGATTAATTGTTCTAACTGTCAGGAAATTTCTCCTTAGTTCTAGGTTGCTTCTCTCTTTGGTCAGTTTCCATCCGTTGCTTCTTGTCCTGCCTTCAGGCACTTTGGAGAATACTTTCCCCAACAACAGTTTCAGCTGAACCCTGGCAAGGCTGAGTGGCTCCCAGTTCTAGGACTATGCCATTTGGGGGGCTGGATGGGGTGACAATGCTCCATACAAACCCAGAACACAATCTGGGGGTCCTGGACTGACGATTCCTGCTCAAAGAGCAGGTAGCAGTTTTGGCTAGGAGGGCTTTAGCACAACTTCGTGTTGTTCATCAGTTGCCCCCTTTCCTGGATCGGTGGGCTCTGCTCCCTGTCACTTGCAGCCTGGTCAGCTCCCATTTGAATTGCTGGAATGTGCTTTATACGGGGCTATCTTTTTTTTTAATAGAGATTTTATTGGTTTTCTTTTGCATACATATGTTAATTTTTCCAATCAACGAGCTGTCTGGGGTTAGCTATGCTAATACATATTCAATTCCTAATCCTTCATTCTTTCCTCTAACCAACAGTAAAATAAGTCCCAAATTTGGTAGTAGTCTGTGTCTTCTTTATCTTTCAGTCTCAATAGTTAATCTGTCCATCTCTGCACATTCCAATATTTTTCTGATTATTTCTTCTTCTGATGGCAATCCTTCATTCTTCCAATATTGTGCAAAGATTATTCTCAATGCTGTAGTTATGTGTAAAATTAGATATAAACTCTGCTTATTAATCTTTTCAGGCATTATACCTAGTAAAAAAAAGTTCTAGGTATATGGGGCTATCTTTGAAGAGTATCTGGAAGCTTCAGCTGGTGCAAAATGCAGTGACATGGGCAGTTACGTGTGATCCTAGAATGGTACACATTACACATCTGTTCCTCAAAGTGGGTTGGTTGCCAGTTTGCTTCCGGGTCCAATTCAAGGTGCTGGTTTTGTCCTTTAAAGCCCTTCATGGCAAGGGACCAGGATGTCTGAGAGTATCTGAGAAGGCAAATTATGGGTCCCATTTGTTATGGGTCCCATCTCCCTTAACACTGCGCAAATCCCCCAAAAACTGGCTATGCCAGTGGTTCTCAACCTGTGGGTCGGGACCTCATTTGGGGTCGATCGACCATTTCATGGGGGTCGCCAAGCAAGGCTGTCCGCCATTTTTGTTGTCCGCCATTTTTTTTGTCCGCCATTTTTCCCCCCTTTTCCGGCGGGTGCCTTACCTCCCTTGGGCTGGGCCAGCTGGTGGTCGGCCTGCTCCGTCTCTGCCGCTTGCCAGCTACACCTCGGCCGGCGCAGGGGGTGAAACCACGCATGCGCAGCGCTCCTGGGCAGGGAAAGTCCTTGACTTACGACCAGTTGGGTAGTCCTCGACTTACGATCGGTTTAGTCCTTGACTTACGACTGGTTTAGTCCTCGACTTACGACTGGTTTAGTCCTCGACTTACGACCAGTTGGGGTCGCGGCATTAAAAAGGTTGAGAACCACTGGGCTATGCCATCAGGCTAGGAAATCGGGGAAACCTAGTGATGGCTCCCTTTCTTACTGAAACATCATCTTCTCTTGTTTCATGTGCTTTTTTTACCATACAGATTTAAAATAGTTTTTGATTGTTTTATACGTAGTTTTCTATTTTAATTGTTAGAAGCAGCCCAGAGTCATTTTCATATGAGATGGGCAGCTACATAAGTCGTCCTCTACAACCATTAACTTAGTGACTGTTCAAAGTTACAGCAGCACCAAACAAAAGTGACTTGTGACCAGTTTTCACACTTACGACTGTTGCAGCATCCTCACAGTCGTGGGATCAAGATTTGGGCGCTTGGCAACTAGCATGTATTTATGAAAGTTGCACTTGTCTCGGGGTCACGTGATCACCGTTTGTAACCTTCCCAACCTTCCAACAAGCAAAGTCAATGGGGGAAGCCAGATTCACGTAACGACTGCATGATTCACTTAACAACTGTGGCAAGAAAGGTTGTAAAATGGAGCAAAACTCATTTAACAACTACAAAGGAAATTTGGGACTCAGTTGTGGTTGTAAGTTGAGGGATAGATAGATAGATAGATAGATAGATAGATAGATAGATAGATAGATAGATAGATAGATAGATAGATAGATAGATAGATAGATAGATAGATAGATAGATGGATGGACGGACGGACGGACGGACGGACGGACGGACGGACGGACGGGCGGGCGGGCGGGCAGGCAGGCAGGCAGGCAGGCAGATGATAGATTTTCAAAGAACGTATATTGAATATGCCAGATAGATTGAAAGATCAAGAAGAATATTACTATTGTTACTACTGAGGACAATAATTTTAACTAATCCACTTTTTTTTTTTTTTACACAGCTGATGTCTCTTCCAGCCGATTCATGAAAGCCATCCAGGAAATTGTCACTGGAAATAATCTAGTGGAATCATCTAACGACAACAACTACTACTACTTCTATTGTGAACAGATTAGCAAAAGTAAGATGGGATTTATGGTTGTTGCTGCTTAGAAGAAGGGGTATGTTCAGTGGTGTGAAGGGTGGTATTAGGAACTAGAGGAAAGTCAGTTATAATGGAAACAGGTGACAAACCTGGTCAGTGGTCAGTATCCTAACAGAGGCAATCATTCTAGCCTGATCCAGTAAAAATATCTCAACCCAGAGATGTGCAGCTAAGAGAGAGAGAGAGAGAGAGCAATCAAAGGATTAAAGGGAAACGAAATATAAAATATGATAATTATGCTGAACTGCCATGTTTTCATATGACTTATGGTTGAATATGGTTGGTTAATTAGTAGCTTTAGTTTTGGCCAGTGCCATTATTTATTCACTAGGAACCATATAATCCACTTGGAACAGCTGATAAATTCACTACAATCTCTGCAGCAATGGTGGGGAACCTGTGAAATTTCGGATGTTGCTGAACCGCAGTTCCCAACATGCCTCACTATTGGCCGTATTGGAACTCTGTTTAAAGGGCTACAGTTCTCGCTTTTGCCCTCGTTCAGAGCTGAAAATGCTCAGCTTTAATTTAGCCACAGTGGATAAAGTTGTAGTATTTGTCCAGCACTCCCTTTCCTGCTGTCAGCATGTTTGTGGTTTAATGCTTGTCAATTATACAAAGGATGGAGTGGCTTTCTTATTGTGTACATCTGTCACTGACCTCCAAGTTCTGTTAAAAGAAAGAGTTTTGGATAAATAATCAAAGTCAATATTTGCAGAGGGCAAGTTTGCTTTACATATAGCAGAGACTTGATCTCATGAACAAAAGTACGTATTTTTTTTTATTTTTATCTTGTCTTTTTTTCATAAACAACTCAAACCGAGGAACATACTTAATATTCCTTACTCCACCTACTTTCCCCACAACAACAACCCTGTGAGGTGAGTTGGGCTGAGAGACAAGGACTGGCCCAAAGTCCTCCAGCCAGTTTTCATTCCTAAAGCAGAACTAGAACCCCCAGTCTCCTGGTTTCTAGGCCAGGACCTTCACCACTGCACTAAACTCTTCACCACTGCATTCTTTTTATATATTTGTTTTTAAAAGTAAGAACTTTCACAGCAGACCAGTGAAATGGTATTCTAATATGGTTATTTCATGATTTCATCGGAAGCTACCCAGAATCATATATTATAAGCCGAGCGGCTATATAAATATGATAAATAAATGTTTTGAGAAAATGTTATAATAACACAATGCTGGCATCGATGAAACCAAATGAAGTATCAGTGATCAAAATCAAAGATAACTAAAAGCCAACATGTTCTGAAGTCAAACGCAAGCAAAAAATCAGCATAGATTCCTTAGGATTTCTTGATTCTACTGCACTACACTCTTCACCACTGCATTCTTTTTATATATTTGTTTTTAAAAGTAAGAACTTTCACAGCAGACCAGTGAAATGGTATTCTAATATGGTTATTTCATGATTTCATCGGAAGCTACCCAGAATCATATATTATAAGCTGAGCGGCTATATAAATATGATAAATAAATGTTTTGAGAAAATGTTATAATAACACAATCCTGGCATCGATGAAACCAAATGAAGTATCAGTGATCAAAATCAAAGGTAACTAAAAGCCAACATGTTTTGAAGTCACACCCAAGCAAAAAATCAGCATAGATTCCTTAGGATTTCTTGATTCTACTGTTATCCTGAGTTTGATCAATGCCTAACAGGTACCAGCATTCTGGGCTGGCAAACAGAAAATTTTCTTTGGCTGATACTGGCCAAGGGTATATTTGCAGGGCTGGTCCTCCCATGAAGCAGAAGATCTCTGTAAGGTGGAAAGATGGCTCAGTCATGCCTAGACTTGATCCATCCTAGCTCTTCTGCTGTTCAAGATATTCCAGGAAAAGGGACATGGCTCAAAGTTTAGTTTACTCTCACCTGGCCTAATATCACTATATAAGCATTCAAGAACGAGAGACTTTTAGGAAAGACACTGACAAATTGAACATGTCCAGAGGACGGCAATCAAGGTAAAAAGGATTGTGGTTGGAGGTGAATTTATCCTGGAGAAGAGGGGTCTAGGACAACTTGCCATGCCCAACTTGTGACAACTCACTGTAGGACAAGAGTTACACTGATATCAAAGAAATGGCGGAATAGAATAGCTAAAGAAAGAATGCAAAAGGAGGGACAAAGTGAAATGTGAATGACAAAAATGAAAACATTTTTTTAAATTATTTTAAATCATTAAATTGAATTGTTGGATCGTCCTGTGGCAAGTTGTCCCGCAGCAGGTTGGCCATGGTGAGTTCCAGTGCTTTTTTTGTAAAAAAAAAAAAAAAAAAAAAAAAAGGTGCCAGAACTCACACACGTCATACAACCCGCCTTGCCTACCCTACAAGGTTCCATCCCAAAAAAGGTGCCGGAACTCCGTTCTTGGCGTTCTATGACAAAAAAAAAAAGCCCTGGTGAGTTGTATTTTAGTTTGTGATGGATGATAGAGGCAGGCAGGCAGATTCTCCTCCACCAAAAATCCAGAAGCAAGATGGCCTTCTGTGGGGGATCTGTGGTAACCAATTCCTGTTCTGGAGAGTTTGTAGGATTAGATGATTAAGTTTACATTCAATTCTTCTGAAGTTTCATGCTATGTTTTCCCAGGTATTAACCAAATTCAAATTCTGAGTGACTCCATGCTTTATAGTCTGAGAGGGGAATTAGACTCAAGTGCCTTGGAAGCATCTCGCCTCAGTGCTGGAAGAGCTCTTCACGTGGTTCAGAAATTCTTCAGCAACACCAACTGGGTCGAAATGGGAAAGGACAGCCCTTACGAATACTTGTGTAAGTCGCAACAAATATGGAAGCAAAGAACTGGATGCTGCCTAGAGCTGACCGTAGTGGGAGGGGACTGAAAAAGTCAAGATGGTGGGCAAAATCAAGTGGTCATGGCTATCATCTTGATTATTATTTTTTATAAATACACACACACAAACACACACACACAGTGCAAATAACCCTAGTATGCCTTATTTGGGGTAGAGTTTTCTCTACTTTTCTATACAGTCACAATTACAATTACTTTTCTATACAGCACTATGGGGTAGTATACAAATCTAAGTGCTTTTGCTATTGCTATTGGAGAAAATACGTACGTACCAATTCCCCTCCCACCAACGGCAGAAAGCTCTGGTTCTATTTTAATTTATTTATTATTGAAACATGTAGTCCATCTTTCCATTTTTTTATTAGGTCAACTTCTGATTGAAGTGCCCAATGTAAAGTTTCTGGTGTTGATGTCTTCATACATACCTATGTTAATGCCAATGGGCTTTCCTGGCCACGTAGCTTGACTGTTTTTCACACACATTCACACACATTAGGGAAACAAAGCAGATCCTAGAAAAAAGGCACAGCAAACTACTTCTAAACTGGTGCCAAAACAAATGCAGTAATATCTCTGCAAAGCCAATGGGAGTTGAGTTTATTTGGAAGGAGACTTCCAATTAAGTATTTTGGATTATGTGTTCATGTGTGTGTGACAGGCAGTCACTGTCATGCTGTACAGAAGATCACTGGACTCCTGCATCAGTTTTATTTCAAAGAATACCTCGTGGCCAATTGAAATTAGAAATCTACTTTGGTATAGTAGAGGCCACACTTGGAATACTGCATCCAGTTTTGGTTACCACGATGTAAAAAAGATGTTGAGACTCTAGAAAGAGTACAGAGAAGAGCAACAAAGATGATCAGGGGACTGGAGGCTAAAACATATAAGGAACGGTTGCTGGAATTGGGTATGTCTAGTTTAACGAAGAGAAGGACGAGGGGTAGCATGATAGCCATGTTCCAATATCTCAGGGGCTGCCACAAAGAAGAAGGAGTCAAGCTATTCTCCAAAGCACCTGAAGGCAGGACGAGAAGCAACGGATGGAAACTGATCAAGGAGAGAAGCAGCCTAGAACTAAGGAGAAGTTAGAACAGTTAGAACAATTAACCAGTGGAACAACCTGCCTCCAGAAGCAGTGAATGCTCCAACACTGAACGTTTTTAAGAAGAGGCTGGACAGCCATTTGTCTGAAATGGTATAGGGTTTCCTGCCTGAGCAGGGGGTTGGACTAGATGACCTCCAAGGTCCCTTCCAACTTTATTATTATTATTATTATTATTATTATTATTATTATTATTATTATTATTATTATTATTATTATTATTATTATTATTGGTTAAAGTCTAGACTGGAAAGCAGGAGATGGCGAGTTTTCATCCCCCCTTAGGCACAGAAGCCAGTTGGGTGGCTTTGAGCCCAACCCACCTCACAGAGTTGCTGTGCTGGAGAAAATAGG